ACTTAGGAATAGGAGCTAAAGATAATTCGAGTAATAATGAACTATGATCTGAGGATAATTCGGAAAGCCGGGTAAGGGAATGATTGAGGGGACCTAAGCCACTGTGGATGAATAAATCAAGAATATTGGAATTGCGGTTAGGATCTGTGGGCCAGTAGGTAGGTGAGTTAGGAGGAAGGTTACTGAAACGTTTTGAATTAAGTGCAGATAACAATGTTCTGCCACGAGAGTTCGTGGTTCTTGAACCCCATTGATGGTGTTTGGCGTTTAAATCTCCACCCAGGATGAAATGATGTCCTAAGGAGTTGAGAAGAGAACTGAACTGGATATTCAATATGGATCTGTTAGGAGGGCAATATGGTGATTCTATGGTGACGGGAAAGGAGAAGGTTTTGATTACGATAGCGGTGGATTGTAGGAAATCTTGTGTCAGTAATGGGAGCTGGTGATGAGAAAGGGAGTGGTGTACAATAACAGCAGTACCGCCATGTGCTTTACCGTCAGGATGGTCAGTACGGTATGTTATGTATTAAGGTATTTTTAAATGCTGTTTTCTGGCAGTCGTGTTTCCGTTATTAGTGCTACGTCGATGTTCTTGTAAAGTTATAAAGATGTTAGTTCGTCAACGTGATTTCTAACACCATTCGCATTCCAAAGAAGGAAGAATATGGGTTTTGGGATGTGAGTCATTAAGAATTTTTTAAAGGAGGGATGAGGTGAGATACGAGATTTGTGAGGAGTGATATGAGTGGAGTAACTAAGGATTTGAAATCGGTAAGAAAGATGCTAACAAACTGGTGAGATATGTTGCATTTGATGGAGGAGGGATATGATGAATTTGTTGTTGATGGTTAGGTATATTCGGATCAATAGGATTTTAAGGTTGGGGTTGAGGTTGTTGTGGCAGCAGGGTTTGACAGTTATCGGTTGAGTTTTATCTCTAAGTACTTGGGAGAATGATACATCATTGTTTATAATTCTGGAAGGCTCTCTCTCTCTTCTTGTTCTTAGTGCCTCATCTTAAATTCGGTTTTCCTGGTGTCTGGATTTGATATTCTTGTAAAATTTGGCATCCTTTGTAGTTGGTCGGGTGTTTCTCCAGGCATAGTGCACACACTGCAGGATCTTGTATCGGTTTGGTGCTGTTCACCGCATATCACGCAACGTGCAGATGGTGACAATAAGTCTTCGTGTGGCCATACGCCTGACAATTATGGCACTGCACGATTTCTCTCTTGGGATATCGTTTCTCTACTTTCACCATTGTGTAATGAAATCTTGTGATATTGTATATTTTCTCAATGCCGGGTGATGGCTCTAGATCCACGAAAAATAAAGGTAGTAGAGCTTTATTTTTTACTCCAGGCTGCTCCTTATTCTCCTTCAGAACGTTGGTTACTGACGTACTTTGAAACCAAGCGCCGCTAGTTCTTCTTTTATCACTTCAGTTGGGGTTGAGGAGTGTATATTTTTTATTACTACTTGTAACGATCTCTCCTGCCTAAGCTGGTACTTGTGAAAATTCGCATTCGTTTCTGAGAGGTAGTTCCCTATTATTCGGTAGGTTTCAGCAGCATCTAGTGTTATTTTTGTATCGTTGGTCCAGTTAAGACATGAATAACTGCCAGAGCAGATTTTATTTAGTTGGGTGCAGAACAACTTTTTTGAACAACAAAAAATTTTTGATATTTTTCACAAATATCGGAGGAGGCCTTGGTTCTGTGGGTATAGCTGCAGACTCCATTACTTCTCGGTCATTTTGAAGCACTTGGTAGGGGTTTGGAGTAAAGAAAGGAGATCTTCGATCATTTCTTGCGAAGAAGTTTCTGGTTGTGGGTGAGGTTCTGGTTCTGAAGTGTTCACTTTTGTTGTTGGAGATGTTTCTCGTAGGCAGCGTTCTTTGTTTGGCTGGTGAACTAACTCCGTCTGACCGAGTCCTCTTGGTTACCTTACTGAAGATCACTTGGTGACTATACCGCATATCATAAGAGAAGAAAGAAAGAAAGATAAAAAAAAAAAAAAAAATATATATATATATATATATATATATATAATATATCAAACAGCAAATATCAACTGCTCTGATGTACACAGGGAATGTATTCAATGAAAAATCAGAGAGATTCCGCTGAAAAGTAGGAAAATACTGAGAGACCAGTTGAGAGCACAACCTTCCAATCAGCTGATCGTCTGCCTTTTCCTCGCGATATACTCACCGAATTTAGATCACCTTCGATCTGTGTAATCTGCGTCGTGGAGGCAATAAAAAAAATAAAAAAAAATTCTAGCTAAAAAACACACAAATATATCATAGCAGTGTTTATAATTATCCAATATTTAATATAATTTATTAAATGTGAATAATGATGTCAGTGAATGCAGTGAAAACCCCATCATATATCATATCCTCTCCGTCTCTCGGGCACCGTCTGACGAAGATAGAGCAGAGGAATTCGCCAAACACCTTTCCCTTATTCACCTCTCATCAGAAATCCAACCCAACCCATACGCCACCAGTAGAAGAATTCCTTAATTCACCCATCTCACTCTTCTTACCGCCTAAACCAGTTAATCCTTTTGAGGTCAAATACCACTTACAAAAACTACCTATTCGAGTGGTCGATCATATTTCCGCAGCCCTGGAAAGCATATTGCTCGGGTGCATTTCTGAACATAGCTCAAACTTTTGACCGGGTATTTACGCCGGACTTCTTTTCAAACTTAAAACCCATCTTCCTCAGTCCTTATACCTTCCTGGCAACTTTTGCTAATGACTATCATCCGACTCAGATCCTGATATAGCATCCTTAAACCTTCAAAGACACCTCTCTCTGATTGAGCACTAGTGTAATAAATGGCGTATTAAAGTAAATGAATCCAAATGTCTACACATCACCGACGCAGTTCCTGTCCACCAGTACTCTTTAATTCCATCCAGCTTCCTTACTCAGACACAGTCGGGTATCTTGGCTTTCATTTAGACCGAAGACTAACGTGGAACCCAATTACTAGACTCAAAAGACAAGAACACAACAGACGATATGGCCAATTATACGTACTACTAAATAGAAAATCTAAACTCTCTATTGAAAATAAAATACTTATCTACAAGACAATACTGAAGCCTACTTGGACTTACGGACTTAAACTGTGGGGAACAGCAAAATTTTCTAACATTAAACTCATCCAATCCTTCCAATCCAAAGTCCTTCAAACAATAATCGATGCGTCTTTCTATGTAACGAACAAAACCCTACACCATGACCTTAATATCCCATTCGTCCTAGACCTTATCCCAGCTAAATTCTCCAAATTTCATCAGAACCTTATCCATCATCCAAATCCCTTTGCACAATCCCTATCCAGCACCACATATCCCTATAATCCTCCAAGAAGGTTAAAACGGCAGTGGCCCCACGACCTTTTATAGTTTGTAAATATTGGAGTTCTTGCAATGGCCAGATTCTCCACTCACGACATAAGTGTGTGTGGCTAATGCACTTGCTCAACCTCCACTGGGTTTAGTCAGAGTGACACTGTTGAGAGAGAATTGCATCGATCTTCTGGTGTCATACTTTTCCTTCCTCAGTTGGAGGGACAAGTCTGGCTCGGAGTTCTCTCGCCAGATCGTAAATAGTGTATATACATATTTATGGTTTTTTTTATTTATTTCATATATGGTTAAACTATGTGTTTGTTACTTTAAATGTATTTAACGTAGTTTAATAATTTTAGATCAGATATTATATTTAAATAGATTTATACCTTTGGTTTATATCGATAAATCATTAAGTAACATTATAGAAAATTAAATGAGTGACTAATGGTGTGGAGATTGTTGATACATTTCTAGATTAAATATAATAATAATAATGTTTGTTTATTCTATTATGCTTATTAATATACTGATGATTGTAGTTATGTGGTTCAAAAAGACAAATGGAGCTACGATGTTTTTATTGTATACTGTAAATTTAATAAATATTCTACGTATTATTTTCACGGCCTTAATGGGTTTTTTATGGCTAGGTACAAGGTTTAAGATTTGGCTTCGTTAAAGTCCGTGGTACAGATCCCTTTTTATCGAATTATTAACATCCGCCTAAAACTCTGTAAATAGTCTAATTGCATAGTAACCTACAACTGTATTAATTACGAAAACTCTTGGAATTGGGGCGTTTTCAATCTGGAGAGAAGCAAACTTGGTCTATTCAATAAGGTATTAAAAACTCGTAAATACCTATTTGCTTTCTACTTGGATAGTGAGATCACAAAATCGGTAAAAAATATTGGGCTGTTTGTCCAATATAACTTCGTTATTTTGAAAATTTGGAGGTGTTGGTAAGGCCAAACGGCTAAATATATTTGAAGGCCACCTTTTTTTCTCGATTTTGTGTTATTTTATTATCTAAATTATCTTACGATCCAAGTAAAAATCAAATGGGTATTTACAAGCTTTTAGTACCTAATTAAATAGACAAAGTTTGCTCCTTTCAGATTAAAAACGCCGCAATTCCAAAATTTTTCGTAAATAAAATAGTTGTAGGTTACGATGAGATGAAATTATTTTCAATGTTTCAGGCGTGTGTTAATAATTCGATAAAAAAGGGTCTATACTACGGACATTATAATATTATTAATGCACTTAAAAAACTTTTTCCTAGTCCAACCTTGCCAGAAAATAATTTCTGTACAGAGTAGAAGATCGCTAAGTGAAGGTTGTGAGTTTAAGTTCGAAATGATTGGCTTTTAGTATATAATAATAATAAATATAATTTTACTGAAAACAACGATATAAAAAATTAAGTAAACCAATATTTCTCAAGTATTGTGTTTAAAATACTTAAATTTGATTTCACTGAAACGGCTTTCTTTGTAGACATTGTATATATTTATACATATTTAAAATAGTGGTTTCCGAAAATCAAATTTAATGTCGATATAAAAAGTATAGGTACAAGTTACCATATTGGTTCATGGAATATTGTAATTCAAAATATAAAGATGTGAAATATTTTTATTACTTGAAATTTACAATTTGAGCCATGGTAGACTATGTAGATACATTGGGTGCACCTCATTCATGATAGGTAAAGAAGTAGGAGAGGATTATTTGCAAAAAAAAAACATATATATATATATATAGATCTGTATGAAGGAACTGAAGACTTGAAACATCAATTAGGAATTGGAGACTAAAATTTTTCGGGCACATGAATATAATGAATGAAGAAAAGTTGAATAAACAGATATTCGACGAAGTGATGGAACTAAGAAACGTGGAAAGATACCCTAATCAGATAAAAGAGGGAATGACAAGACTAGGGATTATAGAAAAATAATTCTAGGATGGAGAAAATTTCAGAAAATATATTCAGATCCTAGTAGTAGAAAAAAATATTAGAGGAAAAAATGGACAGTCGAGCGAATGAGTGAAAAAATGATAAAAACATATAGTCGCGGTCCTTAGATGGCGGGCCAGACACACGCATACCCACGCCTATACGTACCATTCAATTGTATTATGATTAGTGAAGATATTGGCAAATATTTGTGTAATGAATTTTCCAACTAAAGCGAAACTAGTGTGAAAGGAAATGGTTGAACCATATATTGTAAATATTTGTTTTAATATATTAAATATAAAGATTTCAGGGTTTGAAATCAGGTTTGTCTATAGGTTATTCAAATACCCATCCAATAATTCGTTCCATTAAATTCTTACATCCTCTATCATGTTTCGAAGGGTGTAGAGGAATGTAAAATCCACTGCAGCAGCATGGGTTAATGGGGCATTCGAAAGGAGGATATGGAGGGCATAATGAATGGCAATAAGGGTAATATCCTGGGCAGCAACATGGTAGAGGAGGGCAATTCCAAGGGCATCCCGGGCGTCCAGGGCATGGGGTAGGGTAAACAGGGTAACGTGGGCAATAATTTTGGTTACGAGAAAGATTTTGAATATTAACAATAGGGCGATATCCCAGTTTCAAAGGGTCATGTTCCTTCTTATTAGGGTCATTTCTAAGCTCCGTAAGACTATTTCCAGTGCTATTAGGGTTGTTCCCTGAGAAAGTAGGATCATAATTAGATAAATTAGCATCATATCCATAGTAATCAAGTTCGTAATCAGGGTAATTACGATCATTTTGAGCGTAATCAGTGTCATTTCCATTATCCTGCCTATCTTGCTCATAAAGTTTTATTGCATGATTATTATTCTCATTTGACTTTATTTTTAAAGGATTTAAAGCGTTCTGAATTTCTGCACCCTTTTGAAAAGTTTTGCTACCGATGGTATTAGTTAAATTAACTCCAGATGATGAATATTCATCTTTAGTTTCCCTTTTTTTTTTAGATTTTACTTGTCTTCCGCTTCTCCATCCAGCTTCACCTTTCTTGTTTTTTCGAAATACTTTTTTGCAAAGTTTTGCTCCTGTTTGGCCACCTGAAGTACAAAAAAGACAAAGAGATTTCATGTACAAAAGTGTAGTGCACAAAACAAAAGAGTTAATTTATGTGGCAGTGAATGCACATTAAGGCAGTGTAAAGAGAGAGAGAGAGAGAGAGAGAGAGAGTGAGTCAGATGTTTTTAGGAGAATGAAGGGAACAGTGATTGGAATAGGTGAAGAGACCTACCTGCGTTGGAGGAAACGATAGTTCTCTCTTCTCTCTCTATCTCTGTAACTGCTGGAAGAAGCGGACTTATATGGATGAAGTTATTGGTACGTTATTCAGATTTATATTAGTTAGTCGATTTTATATCAGCTTTAGGATAGTCCGTAAGTTCTTGTGGTTTAGTTATAAATAGTTAAGTTTAGATTACTCCTTAGATTAAGTTTTAATTATCTATAGTCAATTTTTTATTTAGAAATTTCATTAGGCTTTTTATAGCCTGTTCGTCTAAATTGAATACATCAATAATGAATGTTTTGATTTTGATTATTTATTATTAAAACATATGTTAGGTTGATAAAGTGGATACGGCTCGCGTATATGGACGTCAAGACGGCAATTATTACAAAAGTATTGCTGGTATATAGACTGTGTACTTACTTGCAACAGCATGCTGGATCCAATCCATATGAACAAATATATCAGTGTTGACAGATGGTTTGGAATCATTTCCACATTCTTCTGGTGCAAAGGATACCACAGCCACTTGGGTATACCTTTCGGTGTCAGGGTTCTGGTATACCAAACCACCTCCTGAGACGCCCTGAAGTAAAAAATAAATGATTTATAAATATTCACCTATGACTTGAATTTTCTAGTCAATAAGTTTGAATACCAAAAATTAATGTCTCTTAAATATACTAGAGGGTGCCCACTGCCGCTTAACGGATGACCAACACCCATTTCGCAAGTTATAAAACAATTCATTTAATTACATATGTGTTAAGCTCCTATAACTCTCCTGATATGTTGAGTTACTCTCCCATTACAAAATAAAGATTTTAGAGCCCAAATGTGTACGGGAAATGACAGTTCGATCGCCAGGAGAGCAGTACTATCGAGCCAAAAGGACTGGGCTGAAAAGTTGAACTTCTGTTAATTCCAACTCTCCTAATAATAAATAGAGACTTCCCTGGTGTCTTTTTTATGCTTCTTTGGGGTATGTATACCTTCCCTACACCCTATAAAACCGTAGTAGTTCACCCCTTGAAGAAGACCTCTTATCCTTCAACTCTCAATGATTTCGGACTAATTTCCCGTCTTCAAAATCAGTCCAAACCTTTAGAGCGACTAGCCCAATTGCAGCTATCCAATGTTTAGAGCAATCTCCTGAATCTATACCAGTCCGTTTTCAGGCCAGTTTATTCTACTCAGTCTAATCAAAATTTTCCAAGACCTTTATACAGCCATAAATAAGTAGAAACAAACCATTCTTATTCTCCTTGACTTCTCCAAAGCTTTTGATTCAGTATACAACAATATCCTTCTAACCAAACATACAAATATTTTCTTTTCTTCTAGTGCCCTTAATTGGTTACAATCATTCCTTGATTGTAACCAATCATCACCGGTCACTCCCAGTATGTTAAAATCCCAAATAACTCTTCATCAGAATCTTTACCGCTATCCTGTGGCGTTCCACAAGGCTCTTCCTAATTCCTCGCCCTTTTTTCCATCTCTACAAATGACCTTCCATCCTCTATCCTGCACTGTGAATACCACCTCTATACCGAAAACGTCCAAATTTACCTATTTTGACTTCTGAAATTTAAAGACTCAAACCATCCACTTCTTACCGAAGCTCAAACTTGGTCCAAATCAGATGAAGAAAAATCCCAAATTTTTGCTCACCTCCACTTAAAAACCTTTAATCCACATCCTGATATTCTTAACCCAAATCACCTTGAATGTATTGAAGCAGAACTGGATATCCCACTCCAAATGTCTCTTCCACCTAAAGCCTTTCATCCTTCAGAAGTATCCAACATCATTCACAGATTACCTTCCCGCAAAGCTGCTGGCCACGACCTAATCACATCCCATATCCTTCAACTACTTCCTCGAAAAGCCTAACTAATTCCTGCCTACTGCTATGTATTGAACCTAGCAGGTATTAATCTTTTAAACTTAGTGTGGCCTGCGGAAGACAAAATTCAAAGAAACCTACTGCTGACATCAAAAACCGCTTTTTTTAAATTTTCATTTCATTGCATTTCATCCTTCAGAAATATCCAATATTATTCACAGATTACCATCCCGCAAAGGTGGAGAGCAGGTAAATTAAGGACAAGGGGCTCTAGGGAAGGCCTCTACTCAAAGTAACTGTTTCCTTTTAGGGTGTTACCAGTTATTGTGAAGTTATAGGGTATGAATAGGGTAAGAACCAATGAAAACCATCCTTGCCCCACCCTGAATATTTGTATTAAATCTCCCAAGAAGTAAGAAAAGAGGTCTTATGTTTTTTTTTCCGTCCTTGGGAGAACGATCGGGGAGATGAGCCTCCTGGCAGAGTTTGGACCTGGCCTTGATGAGATGACCTCGGATCAGCAGATGAAGTGAAGAAACCTGGCAACTACACATCTTCATAGAATATAGCTAAGTTGTAATTCCCAATCCTAATGTTAAAATATTTCATGGCAATTCTCAAACAGTCCATCTGAAATAATACCTGCATATTCATTATTAAATCATGTTTTTATCTAGTTTATTGCATATAGTATTTGCACATTAAGATTTCTATGTTATTTGTATATTATTCTTTATAATATAAACAATAAAATAAATTAATTTTTTTTAGTAAAAGTTATTTTAATGAAGAGAAGGATTGTTGGGGTGATCAGTTAGAATTAAAAAGGAAAAAATAAATAATAAAATTTATTTTTGCCTTTTTATTTCTAACTGATCACCCCAACCATTCTTCTCTTCATTTTTCACGACAGTCGTCCTTCGCCCACAATTATTAAAAAAGATATTTTAATTCTGCCAACTATTTATATCATGATGATCACACAGGTAATATTAGTAATTAGAAATCATGATAAACACAAACGAGTCTTTGAGAAAAGAAATTCAATTAATTAATCATGGACCAAATATATTATAGATCCAAATTTCTTTTACTTATTTTTTACTATTATTAAATGATTCTGGATAATTATCATCAATAATTTAAGCCCCCAAAAAATACCATTACACTAGATATATAACGGCGTACTCTGTTCCACATATTTTCCTTACCCTTGGAAACTATCTATTGTCAAAATTATACATTAACCCTAAAAGCCACCAGAATACCCATCCTCTTACCGTCATATCTCTCTTTTAACCATCATGGAGAAAATCCTGGAAAAGCTCATCTTAAAACGCCTGTTTCCCATCCTAGATTCAAACCACATAATCCCTGATCACTAATTTGGATTCCGCACATCCCATTCCTCTATCCAGCAATGCCAACGTGTGGTGGACGTTGTCTCCTCTGCATTGGAACGCGGAATATATTGTACTGGAGTCTTTATCGATGTTGAACAGGCGTTTGATGGAGTCTGGCAACCGGGATTTCTTTACAAACTCCGTAAATTTCTCCCCCCTACATACTTTCTGATCATCAGTTCCTACCTTACTGATGAACACTTCAAACTAAATCATAATAATGCCTATTAATCCCTCTTTTCTCAATCTGCTGGTATTCCCCAAGCTGGTATACTTGGTCCTATCCTTTACACGGTTTATACAGCTAATATCCCAACCCATCCTAACACTGTCATCACCACGCATGCCGATGACATATGTATCCTTTCCGTTAATAACGATCCATCAATAGCATCCCAAACTCTTCAATCACACATCACAAACCTCGAAAAATGGTGTCAAAACTATAGGGTCAAAATAAATTCCAATAAATCCCATCAAATCACTTTTACCCTTCGTCGTAAACTTATGACTTCCTGTCCTACAGTATCCTGTAATAACACCAGACTTATCCCTGTTGAACAAATCCTATACCTAGTACTCCACCTGGATAAACGTCTCACTTGGAATCCTTATTCGAGACTGAAACGACAAGAAACAGTTCGACATTTCCGCTTACTCCAACACTTACTTGACAAACGATCTAGGCTTCCAAAAAAAAAAAAAAAAAAAAAATGTCTGTGAAGAATAATATGATTAACTTGTTAGCAACTAAATTTTAAAGAAATCACAATATTGAGTGATATTTTAGTAAGTAATAATAAACATGTTTGTATTTATAGCCTGTAATGGCTATCTGAATGTTTATTGGAACCAGATTAGCTATGTGGGTAATGTTATCTTTAACTGAATCTAGTTTTAGAAGGCGTCTGCTCGTCGTGATCGAGTAATTTGGATTATCAGTTGATATTTGCTGTGACCTCCTGGTAACACAGCTTTTTTAGCTTAGGTATAAACGAAAATCCCCTTAAAATAAATCGACATTTCAGTCCATAATGTATGTTTTTGAGTCGTGGTGTCAAATTTACTTGGCGTAAATAACATTTCCAAATTTGTACTGCGCATGCGAAAACAGTCCAGGACTGCTTGTTGGAATAGAACCAATGTTTACACCCAAGTGGATGGAAGGTTTCCTAATATAACCCAAGTTCTTTTAGTTTTACAATCATCGATAGTTGTTAAAATAAGTTACAAATAAGATGACGTCACACGCTAATCCCTTGTTTAATAACTCGGTTTAAAAATTATTTGGCTCAACTCGACAAAAATTTTAACATCTGTGAAATTTTAACGTGATTTAGTTAACGGAGAACATTAACTTTAATCACGACTGTTGGTGCAGCCGAATATAAATCTAATTTTTAGTGATGTTAAAACAATAATCATTTTTAGTTTCACGAATGATATTAAATATAGTTCATCCGTAAATGAATCAAATTAATAGAATAATCTGAAAGACACTTACGCTGCAAGAATTATTATTAAGGGTGAATGCACAAATTTGAGTTGTGTCCTGGACATATGGCCACCTTCTTTTACATTCTTCATTATTTATATATTTCGTGCCGACTTCGTCATCACCTGTGTCTTCAATCTCACCCCAACCTAAGCGAAAGATAAGTGTTAATATCAATGATGCCATCGTCAGGTATATAGGAAACCAATAAACATTTTTCAGGATAAAACAATCATACAGGTACATCCAAATTGCAGTTACCATCAATATTTTAATTTAATTGAATTTTACTGTCTCTCACTTCTTTCTTCTACTCTCTCTCTCTCTCTCTCTCTCTCTCTCTCTCTCTCTCTCTCTATATATATATATATATATATATATATATATATATATAATATATATATATATATATATATATATATATATATATATATATATATATATATATATATATATATATATCTGTGGTCTACTAGACCACATCCCGATTTCTGATTCAAGTACACGGTCGGTGTGAGTTGCTTCCAGTAGCCTGACGGAGCTCACACAAGGGACAAGGGAGGGATCTCGGGCAGCGTGGGTTTCCATCGTTTACTGCCACCCGAATCGGGCGGTCACCCATCCAAGTGCTAACCACGGTCAGCGTTGCTTAACTTATACATATATATATATATATATATATATATATATATATATATATATATATATATATATATATATATATATATATATACATATATAACTCAAGTTCATGTTAAAGAACAGAAATAAAAAAGAGAGGGAAAGCTGAATTAACATGCAAGACTGTGTTATAAAGACTGATCTATTCTTCTTGTTACTCCTCAATATCTCTAACACCTGATTTTACTGAACAGCTGATATTATACCAGCAGCTGTTACTTCGCTCCTTAACTTAAATAAGTTGTGGTTAGTAGCCAACAAATATGTTCTTTAATCCTATTGAGATTATATGAACAAAGACTTATAATATATATATATACATATAAGTTAAGGAGCGAAGTAACTGTTAGGTACAATATCAGCTGTTCAGTTTTTTAGAGAATAGGGTAAAGGTTAGAAGATTATCATAAGAGTAAAAAGCGGACTGATGTAAATATAGAATGAGAATATAAATCATATACACATAAGTAGGTATCTCACATCCAAAGCCACTGGGCTAGGAGAAGGTCATTCCTTCATGCGAAAGATGGGTAACGAGAGTCCGTACCCAATGATTCTGCTCTTATTTTTTGATCAGTTGATTTATATACACCTTCATCTTTATTTGGAAATAAACATACTGTCACAATACATTTTTTTACAATAAAAACTGACATATATATATATATATATATATATATATATATATATATGTATATGTTAAGCAACGCTGACCGTGGTTAGCACTTGGATGGGTGACCGCCCGATTCGGGTGGCCGTAAACGATGGAAACCCACGCTGCCCGAGATCCCTCCCTTGTCCCTTGTGTGAGCTCCGTCAGGCTACTGGAAGCAACTCACACCGACCGAGCGTAGGACTGATGGCCTTACCCCCGTGTACTTGAATCAGAAATCGGGATGTGGTCTAGTAGACCACAGATATATATATAAACCATCTTCTGATATAGGCGTCTAGTGGTGGCGCAGTCTCGTAGCGGACGCGTAAACAACGTGTAGAGCTGCTACAGGCAGTATACACCAACTTATTAGCGCGGTTCCAACACCATAACCGAGAAGACGAGAGAAGTGGCTGTTGCGGTAGAAACTGGAGCCCGGATGTCTTTTGTTTCGACCTATAGGTAGAGACATGGGGAAGAAGGATGCACTCCAGAGAGAGAATAATTTTGTAGAATGTGCCCAAGAACTGATAGACGCAAGTGGACGCGCCATAGATAGAAGCAAGTGTGGAAAGGTAGGTCACCTGGTAGTCCGCGAACCAGGTGTTTCGAATGTGGAAACGAGGGTCACATCGCGTTTCAATGTCCATACATGAGTAGGCGAGGAGAAATTGGCCGAGGCGATCCGATTGTGGAGAAGGAGAGTAGCAGCATCGGAAGCATACGACTCATCAGCGACGTCTGGAACGGACGAAGACGAAACTGTAGTGAGTGAAAAAGAAACCAGAGGAGGAGTTAGAAGAGGCATTGTCAACTGGAGGAGCTGAGAAAAAGGAGCGGCAGTAGAGAAAAAAGAAATAACGAAAGAATGAAGAGAGTGGTAGAGAAGCGGCAACCACGCAGTGATAAATAATATAGAAGGTGAGCGTGTGTCAATTATAAGTGTTGGGAGGAGAGTGATGTACCTGGTGGATACGGAGAGTTCAAATATGATAATGAGTTGAAATGCATTGGATCTGTTGTGCAAAGGAGAGAGGGTACCAGAAATACAGGTGTGTAAGTGCAAATTAATCATCTTCGGTGGGGCTTGCAGTGTATAAGGGGAAGCGGAATTATAATTGAATTATTGGTTGAAAGGGAGCGGGAGATCGGGGGTCTATAAAATATAGAATATGTCAAGGGGCATAATAGAGTGTGACTTGTTAGTCAAAGTGGGGACGCGGATATACAGTAAGGGCAAGCGTCAGTTCATCCGTACTGGAGGGTAGAGGTATCGGTGTAAGATGTCTAGGATAGAGGGCAAGGTAAGTGAGAGTAATCAAACAGACAGAACATTGGACATAGAGGATAAAAAGAGAGTACGACATGTTTTTTAAAGATGGAGAAGTATTTAGTGCAACAGGGAGAACTGTGTACTTGTCTGTAAAGAAGACAAAATAAATTATTTAAAGGAACGACTATATCCTCAGGCTCTGAGACGACATAGCAGAGAAGAGCTTGAGAGTTTAAAAAAAACAGCGGGATGATTGTGGACAGTACTTCACCATACAATAGCCCATTATGAACATTAAGGAGTAAGTCTGCAGATGGAGAGAAAAAGTATAGGGTAGTACTGGACTATAGAAAACTTAATGAAAACCCTCTGGATGAGAAATATCCTATCCCAGGACTTGTGGATATCCTCGACAGGCTGAGAGGGGCCACAATCTTCATTACCTTGGATTTTAAAACAGAATACCATCAAATAAGGATGTGCCCCCAGGACAGGACCAGCACAAAACGGTGTTCTTTTTTGGGAGAGGGCATTATGTACTAAGATGCTGTTTGGATTGCAGAATGTCCCAATAACATTCCAGTCGACTTTATGGACTAATTCCTGAGATGACTGGAGGAATAATTCTGTCAGGTGTATATTTATGACCTCTTACTCTTCATCAAGAACGAACGAGAGCATAGCCGCGTTTTTGACTGGCTAAGGCAGTTGGGATTGAAATTTCCAGCTGAAAAACTGAGCTTGAGGCAGGAACGGATTACATTTTTGTATCACTCGATTTCGAAGGAAGGAATTATGCCCGATAAAACGAAAGTAGAAGCCTAGGGATGTGAAAGGGATTCGCAGGCTATTGAGGACAGTGAATTATTATCGCAGGTTAGTCCCAGTGATGGCGGAATAGTCGACTCCTCTCAATAATTTGCTGAAGAAGGGTCGGAAAATAGTTATTACGCCGGTGATTGAAGATAATATGAGCAAATATATGGCACAGTTGCAAGATGAGCCACTAGGGTTCTCTGATTTTTAAAAAAAAGTTCATTATCACCACGGACGGAGGTGAATACGCATTGGGGGCGGTACTTGCTCAGGAGGGAGTCAAGGGCGAAAAACCGGTGGCGTACGCGAGTAGACGACTTACAGAAACGGAAGCTAGGTATAGTGTTTCGGAAAGGGAGCTTGGAGCTGGGTATAATGTGGGCAGTGGGTCATTTTAGGTAGCATATTTTTAGTTCACATGGATCACCGACCGCCGCTTTGGGTAGAAATTCTTAAAGAACCATCGGCCAGGGTCACTCGATGGAAACAATTCCTGAGACAGTATAACATGGAGATCACGTTTAAGCCGTGTAAGGAAAACGTAGTGGCTGATTGGTTGTCTAAATCCATCACCCTATGTTCCATCGAGGAAGAAGACGGAAAAACATCACGGGACGTGCGCCAATCTCTCAGAGCATGAACGCTGGAAGGATAGGGGGAAAGAACTGCAGCCATTTTTGCTGAAATACGAGTACTTTTAGATGACCGGATGGAAAAACACATCATTTCTTTACACAACTAGAGATGAAACTCAACAACTTTTCTAATAAACTTTATTAATATCGAGTTAGAGCTCATTAATCAAGAAAATTTTCCTAAAAGGGGTTAATGTGTGCAGTTGAAGGGTGATCACAAATAATTTATGACTTTTGTTTAACGGAACGGAAGCTGTGTTTCCTTTTTCCTAGCTGTCTTTAAATACTTTTAACAATGAAAAAACTTTCTTTTTAAGTAAATGTTGTCTAGTTTACTATGGAGCAATGTTTAGTCACTTAAATAAAATATTTGTTAAATTATCGCTTCCTATTCAAGAAAAAACGTGATTTGCTTAAAAAAACAAAAATCTAAAAAATCCTACTTTTCTGCCGGTTTGTTTATATGAACCTTTTCCTAGATCCTGATGGCTACTTTTTACTATTTTAATTTTGTCCTCTACTAACGGTACACTCTCTATATATTGCTTTCAATTTTTTGCAGTTATTTTTAGTTTGGTTAAAATATTCTTTGTATTATTTTGTAGTAATTTCGGATGAAAAATTATTCTATCTAAATTAATTAGTTAGTAGTTTTTATAATAATAGCAGTGTTAATATTATAGTATTAGTAAATTTAAATATAGTATTATTTGTAAGTAAGAGAGAGAGAAACACTTTCTTTTCATAAAATATAAAAGATTTCTGCCTAATTATATTGGGTTGCTATATGCACAGCATACTCTTTTATCCTCAGGACAATGTATGAACTTATATATAAATATACAAAAGTATTAGTTAATATTAGTAAAATATATATATATATATATATATATATATATATATATATATATATATATATATATTTAAACTTAACTATTTAATTGGGAGTAAGGTCACTTAAAATTAATGAATTAAGTGACGTTATTCCCAATTAAATAGATAAGTTTAAATTTAATACTCAAAGGTCGATTAAGGAAAAGTTATAAAGATATATATATATATATATATATATATATATATATATATATA